CGTCATGGAAAACTGGTAGAGAACACTCTACTTATTGCGGAAGGAATCTTGTATGTGACCAACCTGTATCACAATATTCTATTGGTCTTCGGACTTAGCATTTCTGACATCTCAGGATGATGTCACTGATCAGGTCAATACTGTTTGTGGTATATTGATCAGTTCTACATCTTATTCTGGATTCGACTTGAGTCTGGTACAGCTTATTGCTTGAGCTGAAGATACCTACATTGATTTGACATTGAGATTACTTCTTGTGTCGTGGACACTGAACATTGTGGAGTTCATTCTCTTCAAGTGATGAGAACACAGCTAGAAACTCTTGGAGAAGAGTTCAAGCTAGCTGGAAATATCTGATGGAGAGAACCTACTATGCTTTGAGTTTGGACCTTGAGATGCATTGGCATTGTGAAGACAATGGCCATATTTGGGCATCTTATTTGTCTGAGAGTTTTGTGATGAGATGTTTCGGTATTGTGAGGACAATACCTACATCATCGTCATCGTGACCTATGGATCATACACTTGATCTTATGGTGTGCATTTTATTGTTCCTGAGAAGACTTTGGTTATCTCTATGAGGACGATATTGTTTTGAGAAGACTTTGGTCTACATTGTGGATTGGCTATTACAGTGGTCGAAAGACTTCAGCGATACAACTGTATTTGGCTGACCTACATTGACAATGTCGAACAGAACATTCTATTTTACATTGAGGTTGGAAGCTGTGAGATGCTATCTCTATGTGGAAAGCTGATTTGAAGAAGGAGCATTGTGTTCTGACTATGTTTTGTATTCAGAAGAAGGTTGTACAGATACCTTGTGTGAATCACTTCGTTCTTGAGAAGTTAGTCAGCTTGTGACTAATGAGCTGGTTATTCACGTTTGGATGAGAACCAGCTTGATTTGAGAACTTTTGGAAGTGTTTCGATGTTTTGAATTCATTTAGTGAAATTGAGTTTTGTAGACTTGTAGCAGCTGGAATAGTTTCAACAAACCTTTATTTGAAGAACTTGAGGTTTGTTAACTGGAAACCTGGAATCGAGTTTACCAGTTGAGACATCGGCTCGAAGGATTGGTGTCAGAAGTTCATTTAATGAACAAGAGCTGCTGTGTCACATAACTTGACGTAAGACAGATCAACATCGTGATCTTGTCTTGTCTTGTCTTGTCCTTTCTCTTGTTTGTTTGTTTGTTTGTTTGTTGTGTTTGTGTTTCCCCGTGACTGATCGTGTTGCGTCTGGAGCGAAAAGAAGGAGCTTGACGTCAGCATGTGGGAGTCCAGGGTGAAACAATCCTTTTGGCATGGTATTGCTTTAGTTTAATTAGGTTTGTGAATTTACGCTCTGCGCTTGTGTTTGGTGTGCGTGGTTGACGTACGCGTCTGCCTGCGTAGTTCTGTAGGAATTTTGATGAAGCGTTAGATCTGACCGCAGATCTGTGCACGGCGCTTTTTCTACACATGCTGCAAGCCCGAGCCATGCCTCCTCCGGCAACTCCCAAGAGGGGAGAGGTTCCAGCATCTTCAGGTGCAGCGGTGAAACTGCAATTCCTCGAAGGGCCTGTCTCCTCTTCAGCAGAAGTGAGTGAAGCATTGGGGCACGACCAGTGGAGGATAATGAGACGATTTGTGATTGAGCAAGGTTCAAAGGTGAGACCGATCGATGATGGGCTGGAGGCTCAACTTAATGCAGCCTACACATCAACCATTAGACTTGACCTCCAAGATGCGGATTACGTGGTGGCTTTGACGCTGGAGTTGGGCAAGACGAGAGACCTTTGCTGGGTCGGCAAGACCCTTGACATGTCCAAAGCGTACAAACAAGGACCTGGCGGTCACTTTCTTCAGAGACAGGCGTGGAAGGCCGAGATACTACATCCCTAACGCCTTGATGTTCGGATCTACTGCAGCAGTGTATGCCTTTAAACGGGTTAGTCGTTCCTTATGGTTCCTGCTCAATGTGTGTCTGAAAGTGCCAGCGGCAGTGTATTTCGATGACTATCCGATGTTTTCTCCAGAGTCGAGTGTGCACGAGATAGACATGCTGGTTTCCGATTTTCTTGACCTTTTGGGGTGGCGTCATGATAGGATGGGACCCACGGGCAAACCCTTTGGTTCAGCCTTCGATGTCTTAGGCTTGACTCTGGACCTCACAGGGTTGCGAAATGACAGATCCGTTATCTTGAGAAACAAAGAAGGGACGGTCGAGAAGATCGCCTCCAAAATCGTCAAGGTCAAGGACTCAGGTGTCATGAGCCTTTCCGATTCTCAGGAGATACATGGCCTCTTGAACTTTGCAACCGGTTACTTTGCCGGTAGGTCTCTGAAGTATGCCTTCTAGAATCTTTTCCTTGGTAGACAAAGGGCACCGCCACTTGCCCCAGCTGCAAAGCAAACGGTTCTTGGGAGAGCAACTTTGCAGGATTAGGAGTAGTACTGTTAGTTAGATGAGTCGAGAGGGAACCGACTGGTTGTACAGGACCGAGTGCAAGATGGGCTACTTGACCTGTGGCGCGATCTGGCAGGAGACCAGCTCAGCCAGATAGAGCTTTTTGCGATGGTCCTAGTCAGATGGGAATGGCAACTGGAGTTGAGTAATAGGCGGGTGCTGCTGTTTGTTGATAAAAATTCAGCTAGAGGTGGAATCGTCAAAGGCCGACCAAACAGCCCTAGGATGGATGACCTCATCAAAGCCTTCTATTCGATTGAAACCCATTTACCGTCCTTCTTCTGGTGGGTGGAACGAGTGCCAAGTAAAAGTGATCCTGGTGATGAACCCTCTCGTTTCGAAGGAAGAGCCTCTGCAGCCCTTTGGAATGCACGATTCTTGCCGGGATGTAAATGCCAAGCCAAAGTGGCAGACTGGTTGATCAAGACAGCCAGCCAAAGACGCCTCGGTTAGGCGACCCGATGGCTCAGTTGGTATGGCGTTGGTCTTGCCAGCGCTGACAGACTGCCGGTGGTGGTTCGAATCCCTGCTGGTCCACTCGGGAGTCTCAAGTGCGACCCGCCGAAAGGCAACGGGCGCCGACCAAAAAAAAACAGCCAAAGACGCCTCGGTTGTTTGTCAGGGGGAAATGGAAACCGATCCGTGCCTAGAGAATGACAAACATGTGGTCACACATCCAAACCGATGGATCAGGTGACTTGTCTCCAGGCCTTGAGTGTGCACAGGTCGCAACTGAGACATCCCAGTCTCATACTCGTTGTTTCCCGATTGAAAAAAATTCGTGCTGCTGGCCAGCTGCATGAAACATCGGATGAACTTGATTGTCGTCACAGCATGTACATTTTGGAAGGAGTTTGTTTCTAGGGTTCAATTAAGTAGGGAGAAGAAGGGAATTTACACACCGTGGATAGCACTTTCTTGGACCGCATGACTTGAAAGAACTTCTTTTGCAGTGCAAAGAAATATCCCTTGAAACAAACTCCCGAAAAAGTATTAGAAGTCAGGAAACAGATCCTGACATCAGGAAAATATAAATTCCTTTCAGACTGAACCAGGTTGAGAACCTTACGTTGGAAAACTTGATCAAAGATCTTAACAAGTGGATTGGCAGTTTGAAATGGTCAGATCCTTTTATTGAGAAACAGTTTCGAGATCATTTCCAGATTCAGATGTTGTCATTCAAACATTCTTCTAACATGCGTTGACTCAATTGGGCATGTGGGAAGTTGTGGCATGTTGACGCATGATGGCATGACACATCTTATCATTTGATGTGTTTGTCCTTTTTGGCTAAAGTCCTTCAACAGAGAAGGCAACATGAAGAACACAATTCTAGGTTTGTCCATGTCATGTCACTGATTTTCAATTGATCTAATTTTGGAGTTGCAATTGACATGATCATCCATGGACAAGGAAACATGTCACAATCTTCTCATGAAAATTTTTGACCCCACCCGCCACCCGCCCTGACCCTACAACACGGACAGGGGGGAAATGGAAACCGATCAGTGCGTAGAGAACGACAAACATGTGGTCACACATCCAAACCGATGGATCAGGTGACTTGTCTCCAGGCCTTGAGTGTGCACAGGTCGCAACTGAGACATCCCAGTCTCATACTCGTTGTTTCCCGATTGAAAAAAAATTCGTGCTGCTGGCTGCGTGAAACATCGGATGAACTTGATTGTCGCCACAGCATGTACATTTGGAAGGAGTTTGATTCTAGGGTTCACGGAAGTAGAAACAAGAAGGTCCCTTCGATTTTTTGATGGGCTTGATTGCTTGGCCACCATGGTCATGATTTTTTAAATAGATGATGACCAGGGACATCACGTGAATTGCAACAGATGACTGATGATGGTGCCATCAAGTGATGACAATGGTACCATTTCCAAATGCTGGCCAACATGATGATGAACAACATGAGGTCCACACTTGCATTTTTTTGGTACGTTGGCGCGCTTTGCTGTTTGTTTTGTGGTGGCATCTGTAGGATAATATGTGGTGGTTTGCCAAGTGGCTTGGAACAAAACAGGCAACAAAAATGAAACCCACGATTTCAGTTTGATTTTGGCAATGAATGAATTCTTAATGTCGGTGATTTTTGCCTTTTTTTGTTTCTGCAAAATGAACCTGAATTATAAGACAGGGTAACTGCCTGGCCCGCAGGTCGCAAAACAGAGTGATTTTTTTTCTAAGTGGAAATAGGATTCCAAGGTTACAACCGCAAACATGTTTATCCAGATGTTACAGATTGATTTGTTTTTGCCAGCATTGGTGTGCATTGCAAGTTCTAGACGAAAAAACCAAACTTTTCACACAAAAACTGTTTGTAAGGTCCAACATAGAAACCCACCTGCAATCCACGTACCTCGTTGACTTGTAAATGTCAACTCGCATGATTTGAACCAGGGTGTGAATTCGCAAACACCGCAATTTGATGTCGCAGACCTTTTTATTGTGCCACGAGTGTTGGTGTCAATTTTGTTGTTGGTTTGCCATTTGCAAGTTCAAACCAACCCAAGAGGGTTGGCTGATGAGTAGTGAGGATGGCAGCTCATGAGGAACTGCTGGTTCTGCGTCGTTTTTATTGCAAAATTGAGCATGTTTTGCATTTGTGACGCCCGGTGGCCAGGACGACTATGATTTTTTGTACAAGGTCGTGCTTGCCTTGTCCCAAGTACGGATGAGTGAACATTTCATAATTTGCCTTGACTTGAAAATATGGATAAAGATTGAACGAAAGACACACTGCAAACAATACATGCAAAACATATTTGCGAAAACTGGGCATTTTGTACAATGAATGGGGAAAATGTGCACTGGCCACAAAACAGTTCTGCCGAAATTGGTGGCAAAATGCACATTTAATCTCAGTAATCAGTCGTTTCTTTGACGGCAATGCGCACCCTTCCAGAACTTGCATATTTGCGCATTGAACAAAAAAAAAACAGAAGGATCGATCTTGTCTCAAGGTTGGTGATGCCACTGTTGGGAAGACGCACCTTCTGTCTGTGGCTTGTGGATTTTTTCCAACGGATTTTTCCTGAAATTTGGTGCCCGTTCCAATTGTGCCCGAGGTCGCGGTACATCAAAGGTTCACTCCCAAAGAACCCCACAGCCACGTCGGGAACTTATCAATTTTTTGCTGAATCTGTGTCTCATCTTATTTCCAGGTCGCCTGTGATGAAAATCAGTGGTTGATGCAAAGTTGCAAGGATTGGAGTGGAATTTGCAACGCGAACTGTTCCTTTGGCTGCCACCTGGCATTTTGCATTTTGAGTCTTTCAGCTTTTCAATTGATGCGTGGAAACTCCCGAACATTTTGGAATAAAACGGCATGAAATGGTGAAATCGCCAAGGAAGGTGGTACGGTGAAGGCACAGATTTGGGACACCGCAGGACAGGAGAGGTGCTCGCTGTGATTGTGGCACATGGCATTGCGACATGGCTTGTTTTCGTGGTTTTTTCAACTCTGCTTGGAAAAATTGGAACATTTGGAACACAGGTACCGAGCGATCACAAGCGCGCACTATCGGCGAGCAGTTGAAACGGCATGTTTTGAGGGACTCAAGGGATGCACAAAATTGTTGGAGTGACCTGAACTGAACCGCGCAGGTTGGAGCCTTGTTGGTGTACGACATTACCAGAGAAGGAACATTCAAAAGTTGTACCAAATGGATGGAGGAGAGGGGGCAAGTTCTTGAATCAAAAATTTGTTCTGATGGCGAATTGATCACCGAGAAACAGGTGTTTCCCTTCCTTCAATCCTGTGTTCCTCCCTGTGTTGGCCTCTTCCGTGGCCTGGAATAGGGTGGAAAAATCCTCCACCGCGCCCTTGTTCCCAAAGTGTCATCAACATACATGTGGTTTGTGATGTGTGGTAGTCTTGTGTACTGATTGATCAGGAATTGAGGCAAAGTGCAGAACCTGACATTGTTATCATGCTAGTCGGCAACAAGGTCCTGGCCTGGCTGTGTGGTGTACATGAACTGTGCCAGTGGGGTTTGGCTGCTGTGGTTATGGATTTTGGTGCTTGTTATTTCAGGTCGATTTGGTTGAGAAGGATCCTTCCATGCGTCAGGCCCGACGTCATAGACGTACATTAATACACACACATATATATATATATCTATGTATGATATATGTATGATATATGTATGAAATATGTATAATGTGTGTATAATATATGTATAATATATGTATAATATATGTATAATATATGTATAATATATGTATAATATATGTATAATATATGTATAATATATGTATAATACATGTATAATACATGTATGATATATGTATAATATATGTATAATATATTTATATTATATGTATAATATATGTACAATGGATGTATAATGCATGTATAATATATGTATAATATATGTATAATATATGTATAATATATGTATAATATATGTATAATATATGTATAATACATGTATGATATATGTATGATATATGTATGATATATGTATAATATACTGTATGATATATGTATAATATACTGTATGTATAATATATGTATCATATACGTGTAATATCTGTATAATATATGTATAATTTATGTATAAATTATGTATGATCTATGTATGATATACTTCTAATATATGTATGATATATGTATAATATATGTATGATATATGTATAATATATGTATAATATATGTATAATATATGTATAATATATGTATAATATATGTATAATATATGTAAAATATATGTATAATATATGTATAATATATGTATAATAGATGTATAATAGATGTATAATAGATGTATAATAGATGTATAATAGATGTATAATAGATGTATAACAGATGTATAACATGACGTAGCTCAAGCTTGTTTGATGAAGTTTTATTTCTATTTAAGAGATGGTAAGTACATGTTGATGTACGCCCAAAACAAGTGCTGAGTTGATACATGAGTTTTGACCGTGAGAGTTTGTGATGTTTGGATATTGTGGACAGTTTGCGCTCAAGTGAGCCATTTTGGCTCAAGTTTTCGCTCAAATGAGCTTTGTACCCTACGTTCATTTTTGTTTTTCGTTGCAGATATTCTTATATTATATTTTATTATACTATATTATATTATATTTTACTATATTAAATATTCTTATATTATATTATATTATATTTTATTTTACTATATTAAATATTCTTATATTATATTATATTATATTATATTTTACAATATTAAATATTCTTATATTATATTATATTATATTTTATTTTATTTTACTATATTAAATATTCTTATCTTATATTATATTATATTATATTTTATTTTACTATATTAAATATTCTTATATTATATTGTATTATATTATATTATATTATATTATTTTTTGTTATATTATATTATATTATATTATATTATATTATTTTTTGTTATATTATATTATATTATATCATATTATATTATATTATATTCTTTTTTGTTATATTATACTATATTATATTATATTTTATTTATTTTTATATTACATTATATTACATTAAATCATTTTTTTTTTGCAAAAATATATTTCACTATCTCACATATAATATGTATATATATATAGGTATATACGCAACATCTATATACAGTATACAAATAATATATTTTTTTTTAATTGAACAATTCTGAGTTTGTTTTCGACAGGTGTACTACGATGCAGCGCAGGAATTTGCCAAACTCCATGGTTTGATCCATGCGGAGGCCACGTTGCTGAAATACAGCCCCTCGTTTCCTGCCTTGAAAATTACTATATAGTTCTTTGAACTCTGCAATTCGCATAGTAGGTGCACTCAGATTCAGTTTTTTTTTGTTGTTTTCCTTTGTCCATATATGGTGATTTTAGTCTTATATTGTCTTACACAGTCCCTATTAGTATCTGTGAGTTACCTTTATGTTTTCCCCTCGCACTTGTGTGGTTTTGCCGTTTGGGAGCGCATGTGCATTTACCAATCACGATGCTGAGCGCAAGTCTGAAACCAACTAAACTTTTGGGACATGTTCCGGTCCTTTTTCCTAACAGCAGTGTCTCTTGAGTTTCAATCTGCGGGTTTGGGAGAGGTGTGTCAGTTGGTTGGGTTGCGAAGCTAGCTTGATTGCAATCCATGTCGAAAGGAGTTGAAAGGTTTTGTTTTTTAATTTGTGTCCGTGCTTGTTAAGCTTGACGTGAGGCCAGCGCAGTGTCTTCGCACAATGTGAAGTACATTTTCGAGCACTTGCTTCAGGCTGGGCATTGCCACTTGCAATGATAGAGAGCGGCACATTTCTGTGCTAATCATTTATTGACGTGGAAGGAGATCTATGATCAGACCTCCAAGAGAAGAGAGCAGCAAAGTATCGACAACAACATGATTGGTGGCATTCAGGCGCTTACTTAAGCACCATTGGTGGCATATCCTTTTTTTGACCTGGTAATTCCAGGTAGCAGCAATTGGTCCAAAAAGTGAAAGTGTCAGCCTTAGAGACTAGACGACACTTCTTTGTGGATTGTCTACGTATGTTTATGTGCTCGGGAGTGGGAAAAATGACCGACAACAGAAAATTCGAATCCTAGCACGAAAGACTGAGGTTGTGACTGCTGAGTTTTCAGCCTGGCTCTGCTTCGGGAAACCTTGCTTTTTAGCGGCCAATGTGCCTAAATCTCTCTGCTGGCATGAAGTTGAGGAGATCAGTTTCCGACAAAAGTTTCTACTCGAATAAGTGTTTATGCACACTTTGATGTTTCAGCTTCAGTACCTCTTTGTTTTATTGTATCTAACTCCTTTACTGTATGTATTTTGGCCTGATCAATTTTTCTTTCAGCTGCAATTAGTTTGTTCGGAAAAGAACTTATGTCTTCTTCGTAGATGGGTTTTCACGATGCTAGATGCAGCAATTGTTAACAGCAAAAACAACATAATGCGACAAAGTTCTATCCATATAGCAGAAAAGTTGTCTGGCAACCTGAAGGCACTTGTTGAATGGCACTTGCGGCAGGAAACTTGCTGCAGTGGCAATGACCACATCCAGCGCACGAGAGCTAATGATTGTAGCACAGCGAGACGAGCATAATTAGCGGAATGGGCAGCTACTATTTCTACCAACCCATCTCTGTCTGTGTAGATTCTTGTGGGAAGACAGTGGTCGTGCGTCACTGTGAAATGCAGAGGGCTGTTAAAACAAACACATTCTGATTGCTCCTGAGATCAGAGATTTGGTTCAATGCTAGCAGCAGTTGCTCGGAAACATGCCGGTCCAGCAGCCCGAGGCCAGACGTTGTTTGGATCCAGACGCCATTTTTTTCGCTTCGCCCAATGGGCGCCAGGGACGAATCAAGAACTTCAACACCCTCTGGAATCGGATACAGAATGATGTCATCAACAAGGAGGACAGTCAGAAGAACTCATAGGAATGTCATGTAGGATGACTTAGGATTGCAGTGCAGCTTTGTGATTGCGCGGCAGAGATTGGTTGAGTTGACTCATCCAGAGTGTTGTGGTGTCCTCGATAGGACAAGCTCCGATGGGCGATGCTCGACAAGCAGATGGAAATCCGAAGGTCCACCGGACAACTGAGGACCGCAGTGCTGCAGCGCTCACCGAGCACCAAAATGATCACCTGGCACCAGGACTGAGCCTTTGAAACTGCCACGTGCTGGGTTCTCAGTCGCTGCTCAGATTTTAATTTCGAACGTGTTCATTTGGGGGAAACCCATGAGGGTATCCCAAAACGAATGGTTTATATATAATGAGGGTATCCCAAAACGAATGGTTTATATATAATGGAAAATACTCTTAAAATGGATACACATGGATAATTTAAAAGCAACCCCATTTTAAGAAACCTCCATTTGGTCAAATGGACACACACACACACACAATGCCCAGTTGCAGGCACACACCAACATTGGTCCCTACCCGGGTTGCAAAAGGAGAGACCTTGGTCGATTGGTCATGTCTTTTTTCATGAAAACGCATGAGTGTTTGCAAACTGCTGAACCAGGTGGTTTGTGTTGTTTTGGTTGTAGTCTTCTAGGACTGCTAGGACTTCTAGGACTGCTAGTACTGCTAGATGGTTTCTAAACTGTCTCTTGCTTTATTGCTGTATGAAAGATCCGTGCGAAGTGAAGAGAATCTCCAGGAATGTGCCTCTGTCTCCACGAAAGGCCATCAAGTGTTGCTGTGTTTCCGCAAGCATCGGATTCTCGCAAACAAATCATGAGTTTCATGCGTTTGTTTCCCATTCATGCTTGAGTTGGTAAGGTTCCAGAAGCATAATCTTGTTTTGTTGGTCAAACTTGGGTGAGTCTCAATGTATTCTACCATTCAATTCAAACGTTTTGGTCCATGTTGCAGCGTGTGGGAGCAAAGTGAAATCAGTCTCATTTGCTCAGAGCGCTGCGGTTTGCTTCCTGGAGCAACGACTGCTTAGGCAAGGGGAAACAGGGAAAACTGATGCCATCAGGACCTTGACTGACCTGGTTTCTGGCACTCAGTTCATATCTTTAATAAATGGGAAGGATGGGAAGGGCTCAGGTAGCCAGAAACCAAGTAACCCTAGGAGTTGGACCTTGATGCACTTGAAATCCCAATTGAAACTCCTATTGGATTGCCAGGGCTGAAAGCGACAGCAAGCTGAAGACCATGCGGGATACCTTGTACGATGGTGTGAGTGGCTGCGCCAGTTTCCCAGTCCATGCATTTGCCAAGCTTTGCCGTGCATCAATTCATTGATTTGAGGAAACCATCCAGCAAGCTAGGTTTTTTTTCTCAGCAAATTCATTTTAATATTGGGTTTTCCTGTAGACGTTGCTTTTCAACGAGTCCGGGGAATATATGTTTGGACGATTTTGCACGTATGTATGTTTCGTTCAAAACGGGAGGGCCTTCAAACTCGAAGGGAAGTTCATCGCAGTGTGGCCAGAACTTGCGATCCTTGTGCTCAGGGTGAGGGTCGCTATGCCTACCTGAAGCTTCGATCCAAAACCAGCATCAGATCAAGGCTGTCTTCCAGACACTGAACCGGCTTAACTGAAGTACTGAAACATGCGAACTATACGTGAACCGTGGCGCTGGTCATGGTGAAGTACTGAACTATGGTCCACTGCTGAGCTATTTCCCATGTGAAGATCACAAGAAAGCACCCCACGTAGCAACAGGTGTTTACACTGGGCAGGTATGGCGATGAGCCTCAAGCTACCTCCCAAGACTATGGCTGGGTCCAACCAACAGGCAGCCGGATGCTGGCAAAGCTCCGTCAAAAAAAACCAGTTTTCATTTGGACATGGACAGTTCTCATATTGCGAGCCCTAAACCGATCTAAACCTGTAATTCTACAGATTTCTGGTGATTCTTTTGGAACGAAATCTGACCCAACACGGTTGGCCCAAGTCGTCATACGTATTCCAGGTGAATACAGGGCTTCGCCGTTTGCTCATAAGCCCGGTGTCGTGGAAGCCTTCAACCGTCCATGTGGTGCCGTTACGTGCGCGTTTGCACAGTTTGCTGCGATTACAACAGATCTAAAGTGGTGTGGAAGATTTATATAAGAACATTTAAGATCACTGTGAAAATACTTGTATAAATTATATACCCACTATATTCCCCTGATATTCCCTTTATATCACCATTATTCCGATGGACATTTCCCTGTCACTGTCAACACTCCAGGTACAAGGACCTGCCGCTTCAGTCCAAGCCATAATTGGCGACGTGCCGTGGACTTCCGTGGCTGGAAAGATGACCTTCCAGGGTTTATCTGCGGGTTATCTTGATCAGGGGCCTGGGGTTCTGAAACGTTCTGCCTGTGACACATGTGTTTTCACAAGATGGTTGGAATGTTGGTGAACTGGCCGGGATTTGACAATATACATACATACATATGCATATATACATATATTGGTGGTAATTGTGTTGTGAACCGGCACAGCGGCACAATGCTTTAGCATGTGGAGAAGAATGCAGCAACCTATGCAGACTACGTATATAATTTGAGACAGCTTGGATGTTGGTGCCAACGTGGAATCACATGTCCTTGTCACGTCTTACAAGAGAGGATTGCGATTCCGGCTATATTTTGAGCCAAATATAACATGCTTAGAACATAAAACCTTGCGTAAGATACCTCATAGAGTTTTGTAGGCCCTAATGCTGGTGAAATTCAAAACCACCTGGAATAGTGGATTCAACTTTGATTCAACATGATGCAAACAAACAGAACATCAGGCCGCTTGGACCAAAGTTCATGTATCCGCAAACCGGAGCAGATCGGAGCAGCGGGCAATCTTTCCAGCACTGCAGGGATGAAGTAGATCCCAGGCAGACATGCACAGACATGCGAGTACGTCTCACCTGACAGGTTTGAAAGGCTTGCTTGCTCAGCAGTTTGTGGATTAGTATGCAACGCACTTGGCAAAACCAAATGTGTTGTATGAGGATTCTGAATGCCCAAAGGGTCATTTCTTGTATGTATAGCCTTTCCGTTGAATGGTCAGGCGAAAAGACCTTCCAGGAGCTTCTTGTAGCCGCTAACTGTTCGCTAACTGCATCAGACTCTTTGTGCTGTCACAGCTGCGCCAAATCCTGCCTCTCTCTGCAGCATTCCCACAAGTCAGACATGCATTCTCGGAAAAAAAAACCCGTTCAAACAGTTTTGCTACATCTCCGCACAAAAAGATTCCAACGAAATTGGGAGCAAAGGCACACAGGTAGGACCACAGAAAACACTGTTTCAGTACAGATCGTACAGTATTTTGCCAACTTTAGAGAGGCAGGGATGAGATGGATCACTTTCATTAATCATTCATTTGGAGGTTTCCTGAAATGGGGGTACCCCCAAATCATCCATTTATAGATGGATTTTCCATGAAATCAACCATCCATTTTCGGATAGCCCCATTTATGGAAAGCCTCTATTTGTTTTCATTCACAATTTGGATGCTAGGAACTATGCGTCGAGGACAAGCATCGCCACTGCCCCAGGGCCTCAGAAACACAAGTTTGTTCAAGTCACCACTTGAAGTTGGTTTTGTGGAAAGATTGGGCAGACATGAAGGTTGCAACATTCTTTGAACGTGGGCGGAATTTCAAAGCCATCAAAGTCAATCCTTGCTTAAAGTTGTCCAAAAGGCCTTTTTGCAAATGAGTTGGGAACGATTGGAACACAAGCACGCAAGTCTGTGTGTGTGGGATAGACAGTGTGAGTCTTTAGTTAAAGGATTTATATGTAACTATATAATACTGATAGAGAAGGCTGCCTGCCTGTCTGTTTGTTCGTTTATGATGCAAAGTCAAGGAAAACCGTCCAATCTAAGAACGTCTAAGATTTAGTATTGCCTGAGTAGGCAAGCATTTAGGGCATTGCGATTTAACATAACCGCGGAGGAAAGGGTGCTAGTCAAGGGTGAGGCAATTTGGGGGCGCAATAACAAATGTTTGAAGTTTGCTGATGATGACTATCAGTACTTACAAGCAACATTATCATATTGATGATTGAACACGAAAACCAGATTCTGCAACAAGGCAAATGACAGAAAAAGCAATGGAAAAGTCAACGTCATTCCTTCTGTAACGATTGCTTGTTTGATGCTGAGCTATGTTTTTTTGTTCCGGAATGTAATGCTATGCAACGTACAGTAAGATGTCATGCACAGAATAGGACACAGATCGAGGTCCCTAGGTACTGTGGCGAGTGCATGTACAGGGTCGCATTGTGTCACATACATATTGACTTGGAGATCGGAAGATGCCAGACAGGTGGTGTAGCCACAAAGCATAAACTTGCAAAATGATAGGAGAAACAGACAGATTTGGGAAAAGAGAGTACAGAACGGAAAGCCGAAGTGGAAGAAAGACGGAAGCCTTGGAATGGAGAACTGTGAGAATCCACCACTTCAGGTCTACTTTATTTGTTAAACAAGATGAATGTGAGATGAATGTGGGCATGCCTCAGAAAATCGCCTCCCAAAATCGGATGGTTTTATTAAACAAACAAATGTGATAATATGAACATGAACAGATGCCATTTTCTCTGATGTCCTCTTGAGAATGTTGTAAATCCAATTACAAACCATCTCCCATTGAGATCCATTTATATCGGATTTTTGTATATGTTTGTAAAAATTAGGAGTATTCAACAACAATTTCATACAATTTCCACATGCGGGTTTGCCTGAAAATGAGGTACCCCCCCCAATTTTGGTGGTTTCAAGTTTAACGTCATTTTCCCCATGTTTTCTGGACATTGCCATGGCTGAAGGCCGGCTGGTGCCCGCAAGGGAGGTGCCTTGACTCGAGCACCTCAGCTGCGATGGTGACATGAAAATCAGATCCATCCAAGTTTGACCCAAAAAACATCAAAAAATCCTAAAGACATCCCACTTTTGGAGACTTTTGAAGCACCAAAAGATGGCTCAGAAACTGGCAAAGGATGGGACCATAAATTTTTTCTCGCATGAAGATTCGAGTATCGTAGGCTTGAAACAATCAGGAATAAATACACTGCTTTAGTGACTTTAATGTGAGTGCTCTTGTTGCCATTTATTGCCTTTGTCACATTGAAATCTGGTCGGTGCTCGGAAGCAGGTGCTGACTCTGCTGACGTTTCGCCGTGGCTGCCAAGGCCATCGCTCGTCAAAATGGCAAGAGGCCAGAAGCAGCTCGAGCGAGGCAAGCTGTACAGCATGCAGCTGAGCTATGAAGGTTTCAGCAAAGTTGCAAATTCGGATTCAAAAAAACATGTTGTTGAATTGAATCATGTTCAAGTCTTGTAAGATGCTTAGCAGCCTTAGCACACAATTTTCTAGAGTACCTTTCCCATTTCACTTCGCAGCCTCCAAACTAATCAAACTATGAAGGCTTCCTGCAAGGTTCACCCTTTGCGAACTTCTTTCCTTGACCGAGCTTCTAATGCAGCAGCTTTCTCTTTGCATCAAGTTGTGGTTCTGCCGAACGAGTGGCGAGTGCCCTCTCAAGAGTCTTGTCCTAGCTAGGACCGTCAAGCCGTCCCTGCTATTTTTTGTTTTAAAGTAGGTACTTTGGGCAAATTCCAACTGGAGATCGGACGAATCGGACGAATCGGACGAATGGAAAGGGTTTCGTTGGTCAGGGATTCGCCTGCCAGCGACACGGTCTCTTTCGGCGTACGTTTCCAAGTTTGCTGTGGAAAGGCAGCTATTCAGTCTGAAATCTGATACTTTGAGAAACACATCTTTTTATTGGGACATGTGAGGACATGTTTACCTTCCAATTCTTAACCATCATTCCATGCCTATAAAATTCCAGTGAATTTTGAACTGAGGGCCGCTCTTCTCCAGGCGAGAAACCAGGTGGGGGTCATCGATGGCGGATGCACCGCGGCGCGGATGCAGCGAATGCACTGCACCGGAGCTGAGGTGCACAGCGCCCATCCTCTGCACCGAGTAGGAGATCCTTTGAGCCGCCGAGCAGGGCGTGTTGAGCCCGGTCTCGGTGATGCATTAGGGAAGCCCAAAAAAATGGCTTCATTTGCTGTTGCTGCTTGGAAAGCTTCGGAGTCGTTTGAGTCTTTGGCTTTTCATGGTTTTTTCGTTTCTCGACACGCTCAAGGTCACCCGCTGGGTCAGTTGGTGCACAGTCAGTGCCGCTTGTCTGGAGTTGGAGAAAGCTGGAGTCGGAAGATCTATGTTGGTTGTTTAGATCATCTATGTACCCACTCGTCCACCCACCCGTCCATGCTTTGGGGTGTGTCTAGTTGCGTTGCAGGCTTCACTTGAAACGTTGAGACTTGGCGGTTCTATTCCTGTTGGGCCTTCTATTCTTGCTGGACAGGCAGAGACAGAGCAGCGATTCAGGCCTTCTGAAGGCCTTGAAATGGACTCGTGCAGAAAATGTTTGGTCCGATGGACAGTAACTGGACAGTAACTGTCCCTGCTAGGCGAAATCCGTCCTGGTGGTTGAAGAAGCATCAGGACACAATTTCCGTCTTAGTCTGCCAAGACAATGTCACTGTAGGTTTTAAGCACATTTGAGCACTTATTTGAGCACTTGGAATCACTTGGTACCTTTTCTATCCTTTTCTTTAGGATCACCAAACAAGCTGCGTGACAAAGCCCGAGCTGTTGGCATGTCCGACCCTCATGAGTCATGTCTGAATCCCACTTCCATCATCAGTTGAGAACCAAGGATGAAGAGAGCTCAAACAGCTGTATTGGCTTCACCTGAAGAGTAGTTGGCTCAGGTATCAGCGTACCTAAGTGACTTCTAGACAGAATGAGTGATAATTTGGAAGACGTGAAGAGCTTCAGTTTGTTAGTCTAGAGTACTCTAGATCAGGTCCACTGCGATTTTAGTCCATGACCGCACAGACAAATTGTGCCTCCAACTTGTCGATCACGTTGCCCACACAAGGCCAACAGATGTTGATCTGTTGCTCAAGCCGTGCTCCCAGCAAGGGCAAGTCATACGGACGCACGCAGAAGTTGATAAAACCCCCCCGACTGGCAAAGAACTCAGCTGGGCCTCAGGAAAACCAACTTCGCGCCAGATGTGGAAAGCGATCAGAGGAAAAGGGTCTTATGCCTGGCCAGATTGCTTTTTTCTGACTAGCACGAGATCTGTCTTCCAAACACACGGATCTTGATGATTCTTCATTTGGATTTGATGTCTTCCCAGGCTCTGTCAGTGCCATCATCGCCAGACAACAAGAGTCCCCTTGCAGCATCCAGACTCTGCGCTGTCTCTGACTGATGGTTCTCTGATCTCCAAGGTTCGCAGCCTCTCGCAGCCGATCTTCCGCAAGGGCCGCTCTGGGGCCCAAATCCTGCGTCATTCGCTGCTGTTGATGGCAGGGTCACCACATTTTGCAGATTTTAGCCGGGCCGAGGCCAAGGAGAAATGTGATCACACCGACACCTGATCCAACGCAAACAGCTAAGAAGTTGCGGTCAGAAAAACTGGCCAAATAGAAAAATTAGAAAAGGAACGTTCTGCTGGAGCGACTCCCTCCTTTGCCAAAGCTTTTCTAGGTCCGATGATGGGTCACGTCCTACTAGATCCAAGCACCTTGGCACCATGGAGCTTTTGGGGATGTACAGGCTTTGTCGTTGCTCATTTTTTTGACTCCGAAGTTGCAGGTTTTGGAAAACGCTTTGGTTGTTTCATTTGTAGCTACAACATATTAATAGCAATACTTTGGTTTGTCTCAGAATAGGGTACCCGCAAAATCGAATGGATTCATGGCTATTTTATATTGTGGCAAAAACCCCATTTTCAGACACAGCCAAAAATGTCAATTGGTGATAAATTATCCCATTAAACCATCAGCAAAAATCCCCATTGTTGATGGTTAAACCCTCCATCTACAACATCTTAACAGCAATACAAAACTGGTGCTGAAAAGCTTGCCACCGATAGCCACATTCGTACCACATGTACGCTGCATCCACTTAGGCATTCAGAGCTTCCGCAGAGGTCTGAATATCTATGGAGAAACATGTACACACATGTCAAATCATGTCAATCATGTCAATCTGTTTATATTTATATAAATGTATTTGCATAATTCATAATACAGATACAATTTTTTCTGTCATCATATTTATGATTGATCTTAGAGTCATAACTCTCATAACATCCAAAACCTATGCATATAGTTATATCCATACACATTGCACATTGCACATACCTGGCAAGGCGGACAGCGCTGATTGCCATGGCCACCGGAGCGGAGACCGCCGACCGGATCAAGAGCTTGTTTGGGACAGGCACTCAGTCGTTATCACCCTCAGGTCACGTGGATTTTTGGAGGAAATCCCCTAGAAACCAATGGGATTTATAGGGGAAAATCATAGGATTTTATGTGGGAAATCCACAAAAAAAACATGGTGTTTGTTTTGAATGAGAAGATCATCGAACTCCACGGGGGATTTTCCGTTGCCGTTTTTGTTGGAGCGACATCGTGGCGATTTGATGCACATTTCTGCGCTTCTCCAAGGGCTGGAAATCGCGTTGACCCTAAAGTGTGGACAGCCTGGGTGGAGAATTTGGCGTCCAGCTCTCAGAGAAAGCAACTGCTCTCGACACCATTGAGACACCATTGAGAATCAGTGTCGAACCACTCCTTCAGTTGAATACGACTTGTGCTTCCTCACTGTATCACTGTATTATCTGTATTTGATCGTGCTTATATTTTTTGTGGCCGAAAAACGCCAGGCATTCAGGTCAATCTCAACCGATGGCCAGCGCCCCAACTTGGAGCAGCGCAATGCTTTGGGCAGTTGGTGTGACCTCGCAGACCAATGGTACGGTATGGTTCACCTGCCGCCATGTTGCCGTGTGGTTAGGCTGGGCACTTCGGGGAAGTGGACCATGAGGGCAAACGGCAAAAAGAGGCCGAAAGACCAACTGGTTGGAACTGTCTTCGTGTCTTCCTGGATGACACCGGAGGAAAAAACTCAGCTGACGCTGTTGCTGGGTACAGATGAGTAAGCTGCTTCACATATGAATGAGTTGCATGATATTGCATGATGCAACTTGTGAAGGTCTGATAAACGAGCATTTGTTCAGAGAGGATTATTTTCTGGTATCATTTCACTGTACGTTTGTGACATCTCCTAGCACTTTCAGCACAGGTGACATTAAAAGATGTTGGTGGGACACTATTGTAGGGCAGGGTTGTGGCCCTTGCTTTGGTCAGAAGTTGCCTCCAAGAACACAACAGACAACAGAGTAGGGTGTGTGAAAACATTGATTGAACGGGTCAGCACTGAAGCCGGTCCGGCCACAAATTGATGTAGGCTTGCCTGAGTGCTCTGAGTCTGACAGGCCACAGACAAAGAGCATATGGAGTTCCTGACAGAGGACTACTTTCTGCAAGGCAGATCTTAACGGGGCTGCGCCAGATATGATTTCAAGAGGTGTTGCTTATCTTCGAGCAAGTCACCAGACTCACCAGACAGTGGGAAGCGATTGCTGGCAGCTTTGAGATGCTCCCCGGGCAGATTTGGACCAGAGCAAAGATCCAGCAGAGAAGACGGGAAAGTCAAAGCAGGGGAGGCGCACCTTTTTTAACATGTAAGGGTGACATATCTTTCACATTTCAAGGAACAATTTGTGCGCAAATGGTATACAAAAAGAGATGCATGGATCCTGCTATTGCTTGGCATGTTCTTGAACGGCAGTTCTGTGATTTATCTCCAAGTATCTTGTTGCAAAATGGAGGCCTAAAAAACCAATGTCCACGGCCTTCACTGACCGGGGAGTGGATTCGCTCAGACACTCCTGATGCGAGTAGCCTGTTTTTCATTGTTTCGCTAAATCTAGACATCTAGACTATACACCGTTCCATAGTTGTTGAACTCCGATCTGACCTTAGCCAGTCATAGCCCCTTTTGATCACTGGATCACTGTGTTCCATCACGATCCAAGGTTCGAATGCGTGAAGGCTGGTTGTGTCATCGAAGCATAGATCAGTTGCTCAGAAGATCGGGTTGGATTCAGGTTAGCTGAAGTTTACTATAGACCCAAGTAGATGGGTATGGATCAATACCTATTAATACCATTTTTAGTGGGATGAACATCCATTTACCCCAGGGGTACAAGGTTTTGACCCATCCCCAGATAGAAAACAGTTGACCTTCCTCAGGTGTGGCGACAAAGCACCTGCTTCGGATGGATCTGCAAAGTTATGAAGACGAAGGCCCAACCAAGCACAAGGCAAGGGATCCAGCAGATGGACAGAGACATCCCAAACTCAGGTAATTCACCCAGTGGGGGGTTCTTCAGATGTGGGAAACCCCCAAAATCCCAAAACAGATTGTTCTTACTGGATCTTCATGAAGAAATCAATGGTTTTTTGGGTGTCCAATGCCAAAAAGTTGACAAATTGGATGATTTCGTTTTAAACTGGCAACTTGTCGCACTGCTTGAGCCAGGCAGGCTGTAATTGCTCGGTTTGTCAGCCTACCCATATTCATCCTGCAGGCGCAAAACAGACTGCGCCCATCGAGGGAATTTTCATGCGTTGTTTTTTTTTCAAATGTGCATCTCATGTTTTCCATTCTGCTAGGTCAGCCTACTCATGCCTGCGCCCACAATGTGGTTGCGGACTGTGCTCTTTTTGATTGTGATGTCTTGCACCACAAAGTCATGAATCATGGGCCTACCAGGAAGCCGACTCTGTTTGACAGTGGCAGATTGGGATTGCCATGGTTTCTTTACCAGCACTGAACGTAATCACACGTAATTGCTGGTCATCATAGGTGTAGGTCACAAACTTTGATGGTTTCACACAATTTCACACGCCAAGTCGACGAAACGGGCTAAGTTCTTGACCTCAATGTATGCCCATTTCTGTCACCGCGCAGGACCCAGTGAAGGTCAAAGTAGGCCCGGAGACTCAGGTCATTCTTTGTGGCCCTTGATCCTCAGCAGTTCATCAAGAAAGCCTGGAATGTTTATTTTCCAAGGTTTTATGCAAAAGTATCTTGACAAGACTTATGTATGTTATATGTAGCATTGTTACTGTATGTCCCAATGTGATGAATGTCTCTCTGCATGTTTGTGCCTTTCCAATCCTTTCCATTCTTTTGACATCTGAAGAAAAATGGACACAGTTGCGCTAAGGAAAGCACAACTATCCTCAAGCGCAGAGTCCCGGGGTTCGCAAGGTCTTATTCTCAGAGTTGCGGAGCCGAAGTCTGCCTGATCTCAGTAAGGAACTAGCATCTATTCTTATATCTATATCCAATACCATCTATCATACCTATGAATACGTATACGTATATATATATATATATGTATACTAATCTCTATCAATAGAATATCTATTAATATCTATTAGTACATCTATTCCCATATCTATTTGTGTTATTCCAACGAACAGCCTCTTAAACGTTGCGAGTCGTCTGAGGCTCTTGAGTACGCTCAAGGCTGGGAAACCTGTGAAAACCTATACACCTGAGAAGAAGATGTGACATTGTTGTCAGCATACTTGTAGTTTTTGGGTTTAAAGGATGGAATTGTGGTACAATTTTGAAATAACTTGAAGACCTCAGACTTCTCCCAACAAAAACACTAGCGATTGGATCCCACATTTCTTTGCTGTGAATTCTTTTGAGAATAGCCCTAAAACAGGCAGCGCACACGAGCACGAGCTGCTTTTCCAGCAGAGCATGACTCGCAAGGCGACCTGGTGGACCTGGAGTTGGGGATCATCCTCGATGGTTTGTTACATGGTTTTGTTACTAAAACCGTGCCTAGTGGTACCCTCTGGTAAACTAACATAGCTATGGAAAATCACCATTTTTAATGGGAAAACTCACTATAAATGGCCATTTTCAATAGCTATGTTAGTTTACCAGAGGGTAAAACCGTGCCTAGTGGTACCACAAGCTTGACCCATAGGGTTGCTGCTAAGCCGAATTGTTTTTTTATGAGCCGATTTCGCCAGGGTCGTGTTCAAGCTGATACTTCCAGTACCACAGCTGGCCAGTACCGACGTCCCAAGACCGAGGCAAGGTATACTGTGTAATGCACAACCAAGACTTGGTCTTGTGGTCCAGAATTGATCAAGGTAAACAAGCACGTTGAATAACTTGAATACATGGTGAGGTTGCAATTTGCAACTCAACGTGACCGGCCTTTCAATGTCAAGTGAATCAACTCAGATGCTCGATGTTCATCTGGCGCTTAGGCAATGGTGAAAAAGTCTCCTGAGGCATTCGTTTGCTTGATGTGATCTGGGTAAATTATAACGACCTCACTGCGACCTCACTGGAATCATGGTTAGTAAGGGGAATCATCCCCAAATGGCCTTAATTCAGGTTAGTGAATTATTATAATTTACCCAGATGTGATGACTTTGTGATGAAGGGTTCATACTGCCCGGCATTTCAAGCGCCGGTCTGGTGCAGGGTGGCAATCCAACCTTGCAGAGATCCGATGCTTCCTACATCTTGAATCCTCGTGCTTGGCGCCCAGCATCAGAACTCATTTCATGCCCCACAACAATGACTTGCAAAAAGCCCTTTCCCCACCAGTTTTATCTCTATTGTCTATGTCTTTGATTGATAAAATTTGCCCTCACCATGCGGACTTGAGGAAAGTGACCCGCCTCATCCACATGATAGGATTTGCAATACTCGCAAGGCTGGTTTATCATTTGCTGGTGTTTGGCTAGAGACAAATCATTGTCTCTTCGGACTGGAAATCAGATCTTATCCTGTTTGAAACAAAGCCCACGATGGCTGCAAGTGTGGCCGAAGTTGAGACTTGTATAGACTTGTGCTGTTCTTTAATTTCAAGATTGACTTCAACAGATGAACTGGACGCAGGCCCGCGGAGAATTCAAGGAAGGATACTCTCAAGAGTGCACTCGCTTCGCTGTCAAGTGGAATCAAGACCTCTACAGGCGGTCCGGTGGTGATTCGTTGTGAATCGTGTGTCAGTTTCTGGAATCATAGAAGCTAAGAAGTCCAGCCACCACTCCAAGCACCTTCCATGAGGGAAAATTTGGTTGCGGATTGTGGAGATCATTCTGCAGAGGTTCGATGTCCTATCATATGGTGGTGATGCCATTCGACCTCTATTTCGTGCAGGGCCAGGCTCCTAGAGATCAGGTGCTTGTCGCAACCAGTGAAGAGATAGATTCCAAAAAGATCATGCTGAATCATGCTTAACCTATCTTGGCTCAATATGCCACCATTCGGGGCATTTGATTTCCAGCTTGAGACTCTTTTGTGCACTTTACCATGATTCTAGCGAGAAGTGGAATGTAAGGTGCATGGAGGCTTTTGTCAAGTAAAACGCACTGTCATCAATAAAGAAGTACATGAGCAACAACAAGAATGCCAAGCACGAAGAAGCACGACAAATGATTCAAAGAGTGACGTGAACTTTGCTCGACTGAGTGGCTGACATGTTTCACATCTCCATTTTTCCAGGTCTTGCCCTCCCAATCAGAGTGGCGCGCCCGGAGAAATCTCGTGACTCGAAGAGGAAATGCCTCAAACATCAGCTGCTAAACCGAGGCAGCGCCAATCCAATCACTGGCGATGTGAAGGACATCGTTTTTAGCTTTGTGGTGGGATTTTCAATGGATTGGTTTAAGGGAAAATTTACAGGAAAGCCCCATACTTAATGGGAAAATCTATGGTTTCCTGTAGATTTTCCCTTAAACCAATCCATTGAGATTTCCGTGCATTTTGCACTCCACTGGCAAGGAAGAAAAGAATCCATGTCCCGAGTGCACGGCATGTCAGCGCTTGGTAAGTGTCCCAAAACTTGCGGAGTCTATGTAAAGTGCCCGGGCTAAATGGGCTTCAGGACAACGTTAAGTCTCCTCGAAGAAAAACCGAGCATGAACAGAAGGGAAGGCCAAGACGCCCAACAGCTGCTATGTTACTGTGTGTTTGCGAGTGGACCATCCTTCACTGTGGCTGATGATGGCTGATGTGTTCGTGCAACTAAAACTGCATGTCTAAATATCATATGCAGGATTTGACCCAGTCAGTTTTCAGGGTCAACAGTTTCGAGCACATCCACGTCTGACATATTTCTGTGGAGTGGATGCATCACTTTTGTCCGCTGCGGAGGGAAAAAGCTGGTCAAGCTGTTCGGATGCTCACGAATCACACAGATCTTGATGCCCAGGCGCAGTGCTTGACGAGGTCTTTTTTTTTTGATACCATGGACGTATAGAAAACTTGGAACGACTTTTCACCCATTGGCATGTCGTTGTACCCCTTTACCATTGGGCTTTGGAGATTTTTCCCTACTTGGATCTATATAATCCCTTTTGGAACAAGACAAGACGGGGAAAGTTGGAGATTTGTGACGCGTGGCGCAGGCCAAAGAGGATCGAGAGAACCGCATGCAGGTGTCATTTTCGCGAAATCAGAGATTTTGCTGCAGGTTGTTCCATACTTCCTCTAGCATCTTCAGAAATATTTGCCATAGTCAGAACATGGGATTCTTTTTCCCATAAAAGGAGCATGGTCATCCTCCCATCATATAAAAGGGGTTTTGAGAGAATATACCCATGATACGGAATTCCCAACAAAGTTCGGACAACCATATCCCATGTAATTACTGTACTATGTTTGGCACAGAAACATTGGCAAACAAACAGTCGTGTTTCTGAGACTGATGGGACAACCCCAGGAGGGAAGTAAGAAAGAATCAGTGGCTGTTGATTCAGTGCCAAATTGAGGATTGTCTCAAGCATTCTTTTGGACCCCCCTGCCACCCTGTGGCAAAGACATGTAAACAACATCATGTTCAATTTGATTTAGCAATCAAATCGGGTATCGCATGGCATCCCCTATTTTGAGACAACTCCAGTGGTGCCCTTCCGCCACATCTCGACAGGTCGACGAAAACTTTGCCAAACTTTGCAAAGCTGGAGTCGAACTTGGATCCACGCGCGCCGCAGAGGCTTGAAGGGATCCAGAGATCTACGTGTGATATCCCCGTTTTGAGGTTGTCCCAAAACGGCGGACTCCAAAATCGTCTAACTTGCAACTTGGTCATTTTTAAGCGGGAAACTCACTTTGTTGGGGTAGGCTCAATTTTACAGAAAAACACTCATTTGACGGCCAGCAAGTAGTGGGCAAATGGTGAACATATTTTGCCGGATGGAATCAGGTTCGGCTTAAAGGCTCGATGGACTCCCTTTCCTCCAAATCTTAGAAGCATTGGTTTTGTATTGGATCTTCAGTTTGGGGTGAATTGTGCAGGTATTTTTATGATAGTGGGAGGGATTACTACAGTAGCACATGAGAATTCTTGGGATGCTCTTCGCCATTCTCAGCCATTCTCGACTGGACTTTTGGATACTTTTGGCAGGTTTCAAAGATCAAGGCAACACAGTTCAGACATTTGTCGACCAATGTAGCCAATGCACTAAAGTTCGGGCCTCAGGTTGGGTTCCCGGCGCTGGTTGATATTCGGAAGGCACCCGGCACCAAGGTGGGACGATTGATGTGCCAGTCTCAAAGATCTGCGCAGCCAAGCTGTAGGCAGAACTAAAGAGAGCGAAACTAAAATAGAGCTCTTTTTCCTGCGCAACTGTCACGTGGTCATCGGACTGCACAGTACATATACGTATCATTACGTATCTATAGTATAATATATATCTATATATATATACACAGTATATATATATATGAATGATATGTATATATGTATATATATATAGATGAATGATATATGTATATATATATATGTATGAATGATATATGTATATATATATATATGAATGATACATGTATATATATATATGATATATATGTATATATATATATATGTATGATATATGTATATATATATATGTATATATATATATGAATGATATATGTGTATATATATATAAACATATGTATACATATATATATATATATATGTATATATATACACGTAAAAACATGCATAGTATATATATACACATATATATATATATATAATATTGATATTTGGAAGGTTGTAACATCAAGATCCTTTCAGATTGGGAGAATCAGTTGACACTGCTTTGCGCAAGCTTGAGAAAGATTGAAAAAGAATGCGCCAGTGACAGCCAAGAGCATTTGTAACCATGTCGATTGATGCATCAGTGCATCTCCATTGGAGCCCGAGTCAGTCGGACGCCTTACCCAGTTCTCGACCCTGTTTGGCCTGAACCTAGAGCCAAGAACTTCAGAGAGAATCGAGAATGGAGTCAGGAGCAAGTTTGGAATCCCAGCATCACTATATTCTGAAGTAATATTTGCGTTGGTTGCAAATGCTGGTGCCTTGAGAAGACAAGTTGAAATGCTCGTTTATTCATGCATTTTGGAACAAATGCATGTGGCTTTACAATCTTTTCTACAAATTGGATCTATGACGATAACCGCAGAGTTTCTTCGGCTGCCTTTTGTGGCAACCGCAGTAACCGGGTCGTGACAGGGCGGGTCTTCGGAATGAGAGCCAAGTGTGGACCGCGAGGCAAGCGGCCAACATGACCCTCAAGGTCCTAGCTTGGCTGTCACCGAGACAGAACCTGAGTTTTCAAAGCTCAAAAAAGGACGAACCTGGAAAAAGGATAGACAAAAGCGGGAGGTTTACATAGGTAAGTTTAGCACATTTGAGCATGCTTGACAATGCTTGATGGGAAGAAAGCCATGAATTGAGTAAATGCAAGCTCCTGAAAGCTCAAAGCAGTGGTGCTGCTTTGGAACAGAGACACGCTACAGCACCAGCTTGAACGAGTTAGCCTTGTAACCAAACCATACAGTATATAAAAAAGGAATGTATATAAATGTATGTGTATCTCGCAAGGTTTTTCACTTGCTCGCAGCCAGACGTATCACATGAGTAACACAGCATTTCCAACAGCACCGATGGTGCAAGCTGCGGGAACTTCAAGCGTCAGAGGTGTGGCATGGATTCCAGAACAGTGCCATGAAATATGCGATCCCTTTATCTGTAGTATATAGATAAAAACACAGCAGTTGATCCCCAATTCACAAGTTGATCTGCTTGATGTTTGCCATTGGTCCGGGTTTTGGATGTCGAGGCTCTGAATTTGTCGAAACGGATGAAGGCATTGTGATCTTCGAAGGAAGTCCACACAAAGAAAAGGCAACGGATCGACGGATAGTGACGGATAGTGTTGTTCTGGATGTTTTTCAGGATTTCAATCAGAAGCACCCACCATTTCTCGGTCGAAGCTTTTCTGGACCTGGGATTTCTAGACATTTCTAGACCTTAATTTCACCTTGTGGACAGACAAGAGCCGAGCCGAGTCAGGTATCTTGGATTTGAAGCCAACATTATCGCGAAAAAGTTCGTACGAAAAAGTGATGTGTAAACAGCTTTCTGAAGTAGGACCAGGAGAACGCTGCCGAGCTTTTTCTCAAGTGGGGCGTCGATGAACTGTGTTAGGTTCTCTGTTCCAAGATGGGAAAGATGCGCCTTCACAGGGTATGGTATTGAACCATATTGAACCCATTAAACCATCAAGTTGTGGGTCAATCATGTTGACTCATTCCTGCAGTTGACGAAGTGCTGCCGGACAGGTGCTCTATGGCAACTTGTTGTGGACCGGTGCCCTGGCACTGTCCAAGTTCTTCGCAACTGCCTCAGCTGCGCCAAGAGTCCAAGGCAGATGATGTGATCAGATCGTTTTGGTATGGTTAAGATACCCTCTGGTTATTTAACATAGCCATGGAAGCCATGGCCCATTTATAGATGGTTTACCGAACTAAAAAATGGTGATTTTCCGCTATGTTAAATAACCAGATGGTATGTTTTCTGATGAAATTTTGAATAGGCCAATAGGCTGTGTGACACGTCATCTTCAACTGATCCTAGCGGTCCTAGCGTGCGTGGCAGGACGAGCTTGCTTGGAGCTGGGTGCTGGAACTGGGGTGGTTGGACTCACTCTTGGCCGCCTGGGAGCAGACTTTCATCAGCATTCAGCCGCAGTCGTTACTTCCACAGTTGTTACTTGGGGATGGGTCAAAACCCTATCCCCCTGGTGAACATCAAAATAGCTGGGATTTATGGATGTTCATCCCCCTAAAAATGGTATGTATAGGTATGGACCCATACCCACTTCCCCAAAACCTGGATAGCTCTTGTAAATTCTACTTCTCAACTTCTGACTTATGCTGTCTCATCATTGTCACAACATTGTGCCAAGGTCCATCCAAGTTCCTTGAAACATTGCGCAAAAGAAGATGCTCATGTCTTTTGATAGGAAGTTGCATTCTCTTCGTTTGGACAGAGTGGATATTGCATTCTTTTGAGGCGGAGGTCCCTTAGGAAAATTACGAGTTCTATCTGTAAAGCAGGACCATTTCTTGGCTTCTCCCAAGCAAGACTACGAGCTAAAATGTTCTTGGAAAGGTCATTCTACACTGTAGCTGTATATGTGAGGCGGATGAAATCTACTTCAAATCCACCTGGCGTATGAAAACATATCCTACCATTTTTTTTGGGGTAGTCTCCACCACTGCCAGCTGTTTTGACGCAAAAACCAGGAGAAAGCAGGGGTATCAGGGTGAACTACCCCATGGCATCCCATGGCCATCTTCAGGCGCCAGTCTTCATTACGGACAATGAGCCGGAGTTGGTGACTCTCATGGCAAAGAACATAGAGGCACCAGAGACGAGTCACAGGGGTTATTAGTTCAAAGTCAACCAAAGTTGGTCCGGAAAAATGGGGTTTTTCACAGCATGGGGTTTCAACAGCGAGATACCATGAGATACCCCAACTTGGATAAACTTGGCTGACCGAAAAATTGGTGCCCAGGCCAACCAGCTGAGCCATTGCGTGCAAACTCGCCAACTGGACTGGGCAGATGGCTCCACTTTCATGCAGCAGATGCCTGACATTGTCGTGGCAGCAGCTTTTCTGCTGCATCTATGATCATCTATGCAGGTTCGCGCCGTGACACAATCAGATGTCGGAAAAGCGCCGTGGCAGTGGCTGTTTCTGAGGATGTGCTGTATGAAGGCGTGTCTCGGCAGCGTTCGGACAGTACCGCTGGGGGTTTTGTCCTGGCATTCAGACAGCAGCAAAGTACATCCCTGGCTTGAAAAGCTCATTTGAGCTAAATTTTGTCCTCTAGAAATGTGCACCAATCCAAACAGCTTTTTTTTGGTACACCTTGGGTTAAGGATGGATCGATATTTTGCCATGCCCTTTCACAACACCTCCGAGAGGGAGGGGAAGCCTACGTGGCAAATCATCACAATCCCAAGAAGTGCCAGGCACGCCAGGCAGCCTCAATGCGGGGTGAGAGACGAACCAGGGATATACAAGCAACTAGTTATCTAAGCCAGTTAAGCCATATATTCCAAAGATCTTCCTATATCCCATGGAGGCAACTCTGGGCTTCATTCGAAGTGCCATCTCCATGGGCTTGAGACTGGAAAGGTTGGAGGACGGCAACTGAGTGTTGCTCAAAATGGGGGAATCCTCAAAGCCCACCTTAACTATAACATAATATAAATATAAATATTAATACATATATATATATAGTATTATGGATTCATTAAGTCTATTGTTGAAACATGCCATCAAATGGAGAATTGCCTCGGTCATTTTTTTGAACAACACCTTGTCAAAGCTGAAGTTACTTCCCCATCCCTGTGCGGACGAGGATTGCAATGGCTTTGCCTTGGGGAGTCTGCAAATTTCCGCAGCTCCTTTTGGAGGAAATTTCCAACCTTTGGAAGGAAGTGCCGATGTGGCTCTGATTCAACCAGATCTGGTGCCAAAGAAAATCAAAGAAAGTAAGGATGATCAGGAGGATGTGGCAGCAGGGACCCACAAAAGGGGCTGTGACTAGTAGCCACTAGAATCTATGTATCCATGTAGCTATGTAATCTATGTATCTATGACATATATGACATTTATGAAATCTATCTATGTGTCTACCTCCCTGTCCCTCTCTCTCTCTATATTTATACAAAAATGCGTATACACATGTATACATGTATGTATGTATGTATGCATGCATGCATGCATGGATGTATGCATGGATGTATGCATGGATGTATGGATGGATGGATGGATGGATGGATGGATGCATGGTATCGTATGGTGTGGTAGGGTAGGGTAGGGTTTGGTATGGTATGGTATGGCACGGTAATGTATGGTATGGTAATGTATGGTATGGTAATGTATGGTATGGTAATATATATATATAATGTAATGTCATGTCATGTCATGTATGTATGTATGTATATTGAGATGTACATACAACAGACGTATGTATGTATGTATGTAATGTAATGCAATGTAATGTCATGTAATGTAATGTAATGTAATGTATGGTAATGTATGGTAATGTAATGTATGGTAATGTAATGTATGGTGATGTAATGTATGGTAATGTAATGTATGGTAATGTATGGTAATGTATGGTAATGTATGGTAATGTATGGTAATGTATGGTAATGTATGGTAATGTATGGTAATGTATGGTAATGTATGGTAATGTATGGTAATGTATGGTAATGTATGGTAATGTATGGTAATGTATGGTTATGTATGGTTATGTATGGTTATGTATGGTTATGTATGGTTATGTATGGTTATGTATGGTTATGTATGGTTATGTATGGTAATGTATGGTAATGTATGGTAATGTATGGTAATGTATGGTAATGTATGGTAATGTATGGTAATGTATGGTAATGTATGGTAATGTATGGTAATGTATGGTAATGTATGGTAATGTATGGTAATGTATGGTAATGTATGGCAATGTATGGTAATGTATGGTAATGTATGGTAATGTATGGTAATGTATGGTAATGTATGGTAATGTATGGTAATGTATGGTAATGTATGGTAATGTATGGTAATGTATGGTAATGTATGGTAATGTATGGTAATGTATGGTTATGTATGGTTATGTATGGTTATGTAATGGTAATGTAATGTGATGTGATGTGATGTGATTTGATGTGATGTGATGTAATGTAATGTAATGTCATGTGATGTGATGTGACGTAACGTAATGTAACGCAACGAAACGTAACGTGACGTGACATAATGTAATTTTATGGTCATTTTTGTTTTCATGTTCATGTCCTAACTTTTCTCCCGGCAATAGCTTTTCAGAGTCTCAGCCAACCATATGGACTTTGAGGCTGTTTTTGGATCAATTGCCAGCTTTCAGGCGATTTGCAACTTGGTAAGAGATGCAAAATTCCACGAACCTGATTTGAGTCCAATGGAGAGACATGGCAGCAAGAAGGCACTTGATTTTAGAATCTTGAATTTGTTATACCCAGGCACAGAATGCCGTTTCTAGTGGATCAATTTTTGGGTGCAAGGCATGTCTCGTTTAAAGCAAATCATTTGATTGGACTCCTCCCTGCACCACATTGATTCCAGGCATATTCAAATTTTCCGGCTTTCGAAATTTATGGGAGCCAAATTGTAGCAAGTAAAACGGAAATATAATAGTGTATTTTGGCATAATACAATTGTAAACACGAATAATATATATATATACACACATAGATTCACTAGCTTAATTACATAACTAGTTTTATTTTTATATTTGTCAATGTGCTTAAGAATTATATATATATGCACATATGATCATATATAAATATTGATAAAATTCTTTTGATAGTGTTTTGTAACTTGGGCATGTGTCTAAATCGAGCCAAGAATAACTGACAATTAAAAAAAGATGAGAACGGAAATAGGATTTCAAAAAGGTTGGCGTAAAGAGGATTTGACAACTAGATCATTAGATTTCAGATCCTATATATATGTATATTTAAATTGCCGGATATTATTTATGAACTTATTATTTTAAATATGTTTACAGTCAGTGCCAGAATTATAGAACGGAGCCAGGAGGACAAAAGTACGGTAAAATACCGTACCTTTGTCCTCCTCCGGGTTCCGATTCGGAGCGGAGTCGGGAAATTTAATTATAGAACGGGGAGGAGGACAAAGGTACGGTATTTTGTATTTTGCCGTACTTTTGTCCTCCTGGCTCCGTTCTATAATTTCTGGCACTGACATGATATTTACTGCATATTTGTACATATACAATCTATAAAATGATGATTTAATGAGGATTTGATGAGGAAATGAGGATAAAATGCAGATAAAATGAAGATTTGATGAGGAAACGAGGATAAAATGAGGATAAAATGAGGATAAAATGAAGATAAAATGAGGATTTGATCAGGAAATAATGATAAAATAAAGATAAAATGAACATAAAATGAGGATTTAATGAGGATTTAATGAGGATTTGATGAGGATTTGATGAGAAAATGAGGATAAAATGCAGATAAAATGAAGATAAAATGAGGATTTGATGAGGAAATGATAATAAAACGCGGATAAAATGAGGATTTAATGGGGATTTGATGAGGAAATGAGGATAAAATGCAGATTTAATGAGGATTTAATGAGGATTTGATAAGGAAATGAAGATAAAATGATGATAAAATAAGGATTTGATGAGGAAACGATGATAAAATGAGGATAACATGAGGACAAAATGAAGATAAAATGAGGATTTGATGAGGAAATGAGGATAAAATAAGGATAAAATGAAAAAAAAATGAGGATTTAATCAGGATTGAATAAGGATTTGATGAGAAAATGAGGACAAAATGAAGATAAATTAAAGATAAAATGAGGATTTGATGAGGAAATGAAGATAAAATGATAATAAAATGAGGATTTGATGAGATAACGAGGATAAAATGAGGATAACATGAGGATAATGGGAAATGTGGGAAAAATTGGAGAAAACAGAATTATAGAACAACAGCGCTCCGACAAGAATTATTAAAGGGCTCCGCCTCCTGCCGCCGACCCCTGGGCATATTTTCTGTGGCGCGTGAGTAACTGCGCTATGGTGACTTGTCCGACAATAACCATCGCTTTCTGCACGGGCGGCCTACCACAGTGCCAGGCAGCTGGATTGCTGGGCAGGCGACGTGCGAACAACCAACTTGCGCCGCGTTGCCTACACAAGGCCTAATTCCAGAAGCCATACAAGAGGCCGAATGCAACTACTGTGCGGCGGATCGCCGTTCGCGCATACTTGTGGTGCAAGGAGCTGCGGACACACGGTTCCAGAAGGAATTTGCAGATGCGGTCGCGATTTTCGGCACCAACGACATCAAATACTACGTGAACAAGCTTCGCGCCATACAGTGGGCGAATGCCAGAGACAAGCAACCGTATTTATTTGTTGCGCAAGATGTTGCGTCGTCTGTGGTCGTGCAGGAGAAGCCGAATTTGACGACGGAGAAATTGCAATGGTTGCAGTGACACGACAAAGAGTGCGGTGGACTGTACGGCGTGTTGCCGTTGTGCGTCGGCATACCTATCCGTGTAACAGATCACCTCGGCCGGAAGCGTGGCATTCTAAAAGGCACCAAGGGCTACGTCGTCGGTGGGTCCACGATTGCCAATGAGACGCCTGCGCCGGAAGGAGTCGTGTACAACACTTTGCCGGTCGTGGTGTATGGGAGGTTTGAAACTGCAACCTCATGGCATGTGCCAGGTCTGCCGGATGCAAACGTATACCCCGTCGGAACTTGCAGGCGTGTGTGGTACTTAGACCGGCAACGCCAACGCCCCAAGCTGCGTGTATCGCGGACGCAATTCCCGCTCGTACCCCAGTTCGCCATCACCGCGCATGTGGCGCAAGGACAGACCATCAAAGAGGGGGTGATGACGGATCTTTGTATAGGTCCCACAGGAAATCC